GCCAAAACCCATTCTTCTCCATGTGCTCCATTCGCGCCACGCATCTCCAAGCACATGGCAGTGTCTCGTATGCGACAGCAATTTTGGAGAAGGTCTCCTGCGACTCCCTCACGCGCAGCCGGGATTACAGAGTTGGAAAGTACCCGCTTCAGTGATAAGTTCAATTGAATTATCCACATCCGTGACTGGCTTTGCAGAATTTGGGATCAAAACTGAACTACACAGAAGGCTTGGATTGGACACATTCCTATCTGTGGACAGTCTGAGGGCAGTCCTGGCAAGAGCTGCAGTTTGGATTCCTGAGAAGCCAGCGAAAGCTCAATAGAATCGAAAACAGTGACTCGAGCCATACAAGAAGAACAAATGCATACTGGCAGGATCTGGCAGGGAGTAAAAGCAACAACTCCAGTAGTCACGCAAGGCTCACTAAGCATGGCTAGGCCCTGTCGGTTCTGATGACTACCGGTGCCTGTAGCTAGTGCCATACTGATCTTGTTGCGGCTATTGCTGTCCCACGAAACAGCGATTACTATGTACAGTGGAGCGCCTCGTTCAGTAACCTTCCTACCTCACATGATACAAAAATCGCCTTCCTCCACTGACACCACCAATGATTATCATTGCTGATTGCACATGAAATGTGTAGCTCGAGTTCTGTCAAGGCTCTTGTCTGGATGCCAGCGCTTGGCCATCGTCTTGTAGGCGCGCTTGATGTCTGCAGCTTGGGCGTCCCGGGTCACTCCCAGCCTTCAAAATCAAGATGAAGGAATGGGGTAATACTAGGGTTATATGCGGGGAATTACTAGGGTGATATTGGGGCAATAAAAAGGTTATATTGGGGTAATATAGGGATAATGGAAAAGAAGATGGAAACTACTACTTAGGGTTTTTTGGGATTTAAGGGTGTGGGATCAAGAAAAAAGATCTAAACCACTCGTGGCCATACTCACGCACAGAGCGCATAAGCTATGAAGGGATGCTGCTTCTGACTTGAGAAAGCGGTCCACGCTGTCGGAAAGCTTCCAAGGACCCTGCAGCCCATAGTGGTCCTTCAGCTGACATTCTGGACTGGTGAGCTCTGTCGGAGGCTGGAACTCCATCTGCTTGATGTCAATTGCCAATACTTATGGTAATGTGCAACAATAGCAGAAATAGTAATAAAGGTAGTAGTAAAAGGAATAATAAAGAAGCAACAACAATAATCTACTAACAAAACAGCAGTAATAGTAGTAATACAAAACAGTAATACTAATACGTGTAAGCATAATTACAACAATGGCAATAATACTAAAAATTACCAATAATACACATAATATCAATGGTAGCAACAAAACGAAATAACATTGAGAATAAAAATATAGCTTCATGGTAACAACGTCAAGACGGTTTAAACCCTGAACCCTAAACCCTCAACCTTAAACCCTAAACCGTTTCAGGCTCCTCGGCTTCCACCTGCCTCTCAGGAAGCCTCGCGCATCTTCAAAGCAAGAACTCCACGTGAATGGGTGCATTGATACTCCGTTGCCTAATCCCCTATACAATCCCCTTTAAGGCATTCTATCCCCTTTAAGGTATAATATCCCCTCTAGAATCTCCTGTAGGAGTTTAGACTATAGCTCATGCAAAAACACACATACATGCATCGTTGAACATCCCTCACGGCCCGCGACATCAGCTAAGTGATCCCACACACTCTCTACAAAAAGAAAAACTGACATCGTGGCAGTGCCTGTCGAGGTTCTCGCCGCCAATAATTATGGCCTGGCCAATGTGTCAGGAAAGGACCAGCATGACACACAGTGGCAAATGCCCGTGGGCCCAAGCTGTGGCAGGGCGACGCAAGTGATGACCTCAGGCAACACTGGACTGGACCACAAGATCCAAAAGGTGTTGCTGGAGTTACATTGATGGCTACAGTATACTGTATATCCGGTGGAGGTTGATCTTGCGAGTCGTCTTGAGCAGAAGTCACTCCAGTGCCCTGAGGGAGCTCAGGAGGTGACGAACGTTGCGATTAAACCCAGCGGCACCTTGTGAGACTCTGCCTGCGCAGCCAGCGAGCAGAAAAAGCTGTCACAAGCACGCGGGCAAAGATCACCAAGGCTCTCGCAAATTGGAGAGCCGCAGCTTTCGTGGGCAGTTGGTTGTCACTCTTCTTCTCTCCTTGGAACGGGCTTTATTGGAATCCCTTTTGAACTGCATCTCGGGGAGGCCACGAGCCACAGGGCCAGACGAGTAGAGCTCCAGGCCTACAAGAAATGTTAAAAGCAGACAGAACTCAGAATCCCCAGACTTGGAGCATTTTCCAGCCTTGACACGCAGCCCACCGGAGGACCTCAAGGCATGGGCACTTTGCTCACACTTTGGCCAGGCCAAACTTGAAGATACCTTCCCGGTGGCAGACAACAAAATGGAAGCTTCCGCATCTTTTCAGTGGCTGTATTTTGGAGAAAAAACTATGGAAGCTACTGTAATCACGCGGTAGCTCAGTCATCTAGCCTTGAGGATGATGAAGGCATCTGTCCACTTTCCTGAGCATGGTACATGCATTAAAAAAGAAAAGCAAACGTCTCCGAGCGGGACCCTCCCCAAGTAAGCCTGGTGGAGCCACCAACAGCGAATCCTCATCCCGCGCAGGCGTCTGCTTTGCATTCACCTGCACACAAGTGTCTGCATGCTTTTTCCCAAAAACACCGATGCCTGCCCCATCACGGCTCTCGGTGCTTGGGGGCCCCGCCTTTGCCTCGGCTCTCGCCTTGCGCTGGACGGGCATCCGAGAAAGCTCTGTGAAAGGGAACCTAAACTTGGGCGTGTGGCTGGTGAATTCTGCGGGTATGCTCCCTCAAAGAACGGGATACTTGGCTCGGGTGGTTTGAGAACCGCGTCACTGCGATGTTAGCACATTCCAACGTCTGAATCGTTAACCTGCTTGAGTGTGTCGTCCTGCTTGAGCGTGTTGTCCTGCTTGAGTGTGTTGTCTCGCATGGAAAGCATGGTTTCAAGATGACACGCGGCAATCAGGCGTCTACTCGATTCTCTTGATCCAGCTGCTTACGCCGGGTGCTTCAGGATGCACGCTGTGGATGCCTCTTGTGGCTTCGACGTGCAGTAGTCACGGGACTGGCGCTGCTCAGTTTTCCATCGTCTCCCTGTCTGCTGAGCACCGGAAGTGTCACAAGTCCTGGCAGCTCGGCAATTCAACCAAGCACGGGGAGACAGCAGTCCAATACTGCCAAGAGGCATCCAAGGTCTCTTCCTGCAAGCAGAGGCTACCCTAAGCTGGCCTACGCTGACTCCACCGATGCCTGCACCACGCCGAGATTTGCCTTCACCTGGGCCTTCCCGGGTTGACTCAGGGCTTTTGAGGCGCATCCTCGAAACCTGATGTGAGGCACTCGAGACATCAGCAAGGTGCCTCGGTGGAGTCCCTGTGATCCGGCACCTTCAGTAACTAAACATATACGTCAGATGCAAACTGCTTCCCTGATGCAGTTCTGCTAAGCAGGCATGCTCACTTAAAGTACCCCTGTTCAATCATATGGGACAAGGCCGCTTGAACTTCCCATGCCAAGCCAGCCTCGAGCAGCTCGCTGAGGCCTGGCTTTAACCACTACAAGACCCCTCTGTGGCAAACTTGGCGGGCAGATTTTTCTGAAGCTGGGCATCCCACTCATCTCTGCTTCCAGGCCGCTTGCTTTGGCTGGCCTCCGGGACACAGCGCAGTGTGGCACATGCTGCAATACGGGCGAATCAAATGGAAAATGAAGCGGAAACTCTGCTTTCATACGCGTTGATTGTCATGCCTTCTGGCAGCCATTTCCCTCTGGCTGAGCCGCGCCTGTGGCTGCTTGCTTGCTGGCGGTCTTTGGCCTTGCTGCAAAGGAGGGATGAGACTGGATTTTGATATCA